CATTCTGGCTTCCCAATACATTACAACAACAGCGATGGGAAAAAGAAAAAAAAAACGTAGACAAACCATTCACTCTTGTTCAATGCGACTGCCCTATGCTGGAATATAAGCATTTATTTCGTCATCACCCGGGTGCTGATGCAGGTGAGACCTGAACAGCCCACTTTGATATCTGTGTTTAAACTAAACTTGTTTGACCTTTGCCACTCGTGCGCGCGTGCGCGCAGTGGAAGATTTGTGCATGCGCTCATCCGAAGCACGCAAACCCGCGCCTCAGAACACGTGGATTAAGCTTTCGCTCTCTGAAGTAACATTCTTAATATTAATCAAACAGCAACAACAAAGAAATCACTCACTGCTCTTGATTGAATAGCTTTTAACATTCTTAATATTAATCAAACAGCAACAACAAAGAAATCACTCACTGCTCTTGATTGAATAGCTTTTAACATTCTTAATATTAATCAAACAGCAACAACAAAGAAATCACTCACTGCTCTTGATTGAATAGCTTTTGTAACTTTAATAAAGAATCATCTTTAATTTATACAGTCAAATATGCAGTGCTGTTTTGCATTTCATTACTTTATTACATTTCTGTACCTGAAAACTAAATGTTAGACCTACCTAAAAAAAACTGAAAAGCACTGTTTATTTTATTTGTATCTTTACTCTATTGTATTTATTTGTGATGTTGCCTTTAGTTAGATTATTCTTATTTTCTTTATTTTTATTTGACAGTATAGTTTTTGCCTAAACACAGCACATACCGAACCATACCAAAACCGTGACTCTAAAACCGTGATACAAACCGAACCGTGAGTAAGTTGAACTATTCCACCCCTACTTGCTACTATATGTTTTACATTTCATTAAGATAATAACTTTATATTCGCTTAAATTCAGATTCTTGCAAAATATCAGTGCTGGTACTACTAGATCTCAGTGCTGCGTTTGACACTGTCGATCATAACATACTTCTAGAGAGACTGGAAAACTGGGTCAGGCTTTCTGGGATGGTTCTCAATTAGTTCAGGTCATACTTAAAAGGGAGAGGTTATTATGTGAGTATAGCAGAGCATAAGTCTAAGTGGACGTCCATGACATGCGGAGTCCCACAAGGCTTAATTCTTGCACCGCTCTTGTTTAGCCTGTATATGCTCCCACTATAAACTTGCCATGCCTTTCAAAGATTTGATGCCACTGGAAAATGGCAAAATCCAATTCCTCAAAATACTTCATGCTGGTTTAAACTGCGTCATCTAGTGAGTCAGTGATTATTATTTGTCAGAACATTCAGTTTGGAGAGAATTATTGAAGATTATTTTTTCCTTAGGAAAGAGAATAATTTAGAAGATAAGCTGGTTGCATCTACTGCTTGAGGGGTGTAGGATATCAGACCGAATCAGACAATCTAAGATTTGGTCAAAACATTAGTTGTCATAGTGACCAAGGTGGGGGATGGTGTTCAGCCGAAATCCTGGCATCCAGTATATTGAGTGAGGGGACTGTGACGACTTGTTAATCTAATGAATAATTGATTTGTTAAATCAAATAAAAATTAGTGTGTCAGATTGGTCGAGACGCTACACGCCGCATCTCCGATGCTGTCTAAACTTCAACTGCAGACCACAGCTCCGCGTCGCCAGCCAACGCCCAATCACTGGCTTCCCAAGACTGAACCTCCAGCCAATCAGAAAAGCGGGAAACCCCTTTCGGCAGACAAGGAAGGGAACCCCGGATACTAGCTGAACTGGTGCATTTAATATAAATTTTAACCTCATTGAGGAACTCAATGCGAGGGTTAATTAAGTGATTGATGGTTGTTCAGATCTATGCAATTGCACATATTGCTGTAAACTTGGGATTTCACATTTTCATTCTCTTAAACTAATTATTTCCTCACTTTCTCTCTATCTGCAACTTGTGTGTGAATGCGTGTGTTAGATTAGTTTATATGTCTTAGATTTATCCAATAAAGCCTTATTTATATTGAAAAGAGAAGTATCTCGTGTTTTGTGCTCACAAGTTAATGTCTTAAACTGCCGATCTTGTTACTGTGCTAATTAATAGTGTTTTCACTATAGTATGACATCTATCGTTCACTGACTCGCTGGCCGTCTCAGTGATCAACCGTAAACAGTGATTCTGTCCTAATTCCCTTACATATTATTGGTGGAGTTCCCTTTAAAATCTTAAATGATTCCCTTTGAGCTAAATTGACCTGTTTCCCTTACAGGGGTTATAATTACATTTAAGTCTCTTGCATCATGCCTCAGTAGTGGGAATTCAGTCATAATCAATCTGACATTAGGAGAGGAAAAGGTAATCATCCACGTTTGATTAAGTGTCCATTGTCAGGATTCAGCTGACCACCCTCAAGGAATAAGAACTGTTCAATTGACTGATGACACAGAGTCTGCTAAACAATACATCCCAGAACAGAAATCAGTCATTCCCCTGGCTCCACAAGATCATGGGGCTTTTGTTTAGTTATTTTCTGTCCATGTTCTGCCATTCAATCCTTGGATCAGACAGAATTGAATGGTTCATGGGTGCTTTTAGTGTAGTGGTAAAAATAAATTTGGCTGCTAACGAAGAAGCCTGAAGAGTGAAGTGTAGGGTATGGATGAGAATGTTGGAGTCTTTGGGTGAAGATGAGAAGGCCAGGTGTTTTTAAGGATACTAAGCTAAATGTTACCATTATTAATGGGCTGTTACTAAACATGAATCACACTCTGGTTTGCTGTGTAGCTTTGCATGAAACCATCTAGCACTGTTGTTTTTGGTAGAATTTAGTGATTCAGTTGTTCAGAATTTCTCCCCTTTTCAAAGCACTAGACAGATCAGTGTACTTGGGCCTATAAAGTACTTTTTCTTTCTTTTCAGTATCAAGATGAAAAATATTATTCTTTACTTTCAGTTCAGGTCATTCTCAGTGAACATTCCAGAGCTGTTCAGTACATATATATCTGATCTCTTGCTGGTTTTATTATTATAGCCAGCAGACAGGATTTAATATAATGTAATATAATGTATAATGTAAAACAAAGAGACAGAACTATAATAGTTCTGTAACATTAAATCACAATGTGACTTTTTGTTTTCTGTCATTAGGTCTGGACCTGGAAGAGGGAAAAGAAGGCGGATCATGGCTGGGAATTAGCAAACGAGGGAAACTGGCCGCACTGACCAATTACCTGGAAGCACGGCAAAATCCAGATGCTATGGGGAGAGGTAGTGCAGATCTTTCACCCATTTGTATTAATGTACTCTACTATTACTGAGCAATTGACTAGACACACTTAATCAATGTATTACCCTGACAAATTACTCCTTAATAGTAGCATAATTCACCTTTTAAAAGCCTTCATTGTCCATGTACTTTCTGTTCAAGTAAGCAGGCATGCAGAGATTATTTTCCTGCATTTATTTTCACCCCTAATATACTGTGTATATATATATATATATATATATATATATATATATATAGCTTGAGCAGATCGAGTCTCTCATCAAAATTGCTATATGCAAACATGTATCATAGACTAATATACTGAAGAGTCTTATGCAGCCAACACTTTTATACATGCACACCTCCGAATCCATTTTTTTTAATGTATTTGCTTATAATATACAAGCATAAAGCTAAAATAAATTTTACCAAAGAACAGAAGTGCTGAGAAAGTAAAAACAGCCCAAAGGGGCTTGTAAAAAATGCTTTCTCACAAATAAAAAATAAATTAGATTTTCAAATCAGCAAAAGAAATAATAACAATAACTATATTTTCTAAAGAAAATGTGAGTGGTGCTTGCCTATGTAAAACTCACACATGATGATAGAAATGGCCACATTTTTCACAATTTCCTGTAATAGTTCTGTAACATTGTAGATATGGCTGAGGACTGGACTAGAAAGTTTTGTCCATCTTATCAAGATGTTGCTATATGGTTGTTAAGTTGTGGTCACATTAAATCTGCTCCTTCTATGGATGCTTTTTAGTCGAGTTTGAAGTCTTATCTTTTCAGCGTGACCTTTAAAACTGGCTAGAGTGTTAAAGTTTTATATGGACTTTTGTGACTGTATGCTTTTTTTTCTTGTTGTTTTAATGTGTCCTGGAAAGCACTTTGGTCAACAGTAGTTGTTTTAAATGTGCTATAGAAATAAAGTTTGTATTGTATTTATATTAAGGCCTTCTTACTGTTTTTAAGCATGTTGCTATTTGTAGGATAATCTGGGTGGTGGTTAGGGTATTACTAGGTGGTTTCTATGATATTCTGGGTGGTTGTTAAACCATTTAACCCTTTAAACTTGAACGAGACATTATTTTCAGCGGACTGTCCTGATTATAAAGAGGGCCACCTCACCATAATCCGTCACTCAGATCTAAAGATTCCTGATTCCTCCTGGAGTCATAACACATAAAATCCCACAGACACGCATGTAGCCAAGTATATACAAATGTAGCATTCATGTGGCTTTTCCGCTTGGAACTTCATCAAACATGCACAGATCGAAAATGACATTAAAAACAACAATTACTTACAGTGGTTACTCCTGAGTGAAATGACTCCCAAAATCAACATAATCGATTGCATCAATCATGAGATATACCTCACGGAATGATGCAACATGCTACATGGCTAAAGACATGTCTCTCATCTTTCTGGGATGCAATCATGTTATCCAGTGTTACTGGAATCGTCCATGTTTGTTTTTTTCAACATCGTTGTAAATATTCTGGAAACTCTACCAATTGTATATTAGAGTCAGATCTAGCAAAACCTACCTGTATATTTGGGCTAGGCGACGAACCAATCGGGTGGTGCTCGCAGATGCAACTATGCTTTGATCTTGAAAAAGGTTGAGAAGCTCTACCAATGGATGTTGGAGTCTATCACCATACAATTTGATCCAGAACAAATTTTCTTCCTATCTTATTTCCTTCCTGAGATATTACATGTCAAATAACAAAGATAAGTGAAATTTCCCTTGAGCGCACATTTATTTTCTGTCTTTTATCAGACGTTTCTCAGCATGAGAAAGTCCAAATGTAATACAAATCTATTTTCAAAAAATGTAAAAGGTTTTCTATCAAATTATACCTACCATTTGACTCTCATTGCTATAGTTTTGGAGTTATGAGTCATTACTTTGTGTATGTCTCTGAGAAAACAACCATTTTAAAAATGCCATTTTATTGAGCATGAAAATTTCCATAAACCAACATGGACGGAGGGACCTGAGCCCTATCCAGGGACCAGAGACTCTTGTGATTTAATAACAGTTTTTTTTTATATACTTTTTTACATTTTCATCTACATTTTCAAATATCAATGCTCTAATATTAGGGGTGCTCCGATTGATCGGCTACCGATCACTATCGGTCGATAATCGCTTTGGGATGTTTGATAGGCGGTCTTTTTCTCTCTCAAAATGCGCAAATAGCTTAAAATAACATCGCGTCTGCACTATAAGTGAGCTGCACGCGGCACTTGACACAGGAATTGTCACAATCGAGTCAGCGTCGCATCGTCACTAAAGTTTATAAATAGCATTTCTTTTTAATTCTTGCCAGTGCGCTCATGCACACTCGCAGCACACACACATAATGCCAGGTTCACATTACTCCGTTTGCAGTGCATATGCGGTGCGTATTTTTTTCGCACTCATGTTAACGTAATAAAGCGTGCACACTGCACACAGTTGTGGTCCGGCAGTGCTTTCCAGGAGCAGTGCGTCTGCAGCAGTGCAGAGATCGTTTCCACACGTTTTCACTGTGCTGCACGCGCTGAATTAAAGTAACAGCGCATTGTTTGCGGTAAATATGAACATGGATTGACACGAAAATTTAGTAATTACTCCATAAATGCATATAGTTAAAGTCTACTGTGTTTCACAGTCAACACATATGCTATGGGTTTTTTGGCTAGGTTTAAAGGAAAAGAGCACTTTTAGATAAACAAGGCAATAATAGATGGCACTCGTGGAGGTAGGAAAACAAAGTTCTTTATGAACCGCAGGATTGCTTGTAATAAAGATTTAAATGCAAAGCATAGAAAATGTTTCTTATATTTATTGCATTTAAACATCTTTTAAAGACTGTTTTACTGTACTGTGTCACAATGCTGAAAAAGCATTTTAAGTTACAATGTTTGGATTTGAAATCAAAATAATAGATAAATGCTGTGTTTGTAGTAAACAGCCATGGATCAGGAGCAGACTCCTGTGTGAAAGCACAGTCAGTGTTGATGCTATACCGCAAATGGAGTTTGTGTGAACCTGGTGTAACACTGCCTCACATACAGCTCATGAAATCAGGCTTGTGTGTAAGCTATTGTGCAACAATTGCACGATTGTCAAAACAAAAAAATTAAAGTCTACTTTGTTTCACAGTCAGCACATAGGCTATGGCTTTTTGGCTAGGTTTAAAGGGAAAGAGCACTTTTAGATAAACGAGGCAATAATAGATGGCACGCGTGGAGGTTGGAAAACAAAGTTCTTTATGAACCGCAGGATTGCTTGTAATAAAGATTTAAATGCAAAGCATAGAAAATGTTTCTTATATTTATTGCATTTAAACATCTTTTAAAGACTGTTTTACTGTACTGTGTCACAATGCTGAAAAAGCATTTTAAGTTACAATGTTTGGATTTGAAATCAAAATAATAGATAAATGCTGTGTTTGTAGTAAACAGCCATGGATCAGGAGCAGACTCCTGTGTGAAAGCACAGTCAGTGTTGATGCTATACCGCAAATGGAGTTTGTGTGAACCTGGTGTAACACTGCCTCACATACAGCTCATGAAATCAGGCTTGTGTGTAAGCTATTGTGCAACAATTGCACGATTGTCAAAACAAAAATGCAGTGCATGATCAAACATTTAGGTGAGATAAATATATATTTTTTGAAAAATGTCAAAAAAAGTGCCCCCCTCCACCCCTCAAATTAAAAAATCCCTTCTCACAAGAGTCACCTAAGAGGGGAATTCATTTTCAAAAATGAAATTCAGGCCCTGAATAAATGTCTAAAAATCTTGATTGGATCATCACTATAAATAATTCTACATGATAAAAAGAAGGCTTTAAAAAGATCGGTATCGGTGATCGTATCGGCAGATACTGCTTTCAGTGATCGGCCTCAAAAATCCTGATCGGAGCACCCCTATCCAATATGAACCTTATTCTAATGATGCAGTTTTAGTTTGTTTACATTGTTAACATGCTTCCTGGAAGGTCTTTACTCCTAACCCACAATGCTGAAGAAGTTAGTCTGAATATTAAGTGGTGTTGCCTTAGTGCTGGGCGGTATGACCAAAAATTTATATCACGGTATTTTTCAAAATTATACCGGTTTCACGGTACATGACGGTATTTTTTTTCATGCATGACCGGGTGTTAACCATATTTTTTACTGATTGAGAGAGGAAATACTGCAGTATATTGACTTAGAATGCCCTATTTTACTGTCATGAGTGAATATTGTCAAAAAATACCACACTATAGTGACTAAACACGACCCCTTCTAATACATGGTAACCAGGAGTCACTGTCATTTATAATCGCGGCATCATCTAGTAAAATCAACACTAAAGAGCAGCTATGCGGTTGTTTTGGCTATATTACTTTTTTGTCTCATGCAGCACACTGCCTGTGTCTGAGTAACAAACTAAAAAAAACAACAAACAAAAAAGTGCATGTGATATTAACAGACGAACTACGCTCATATTTATAATTCCAAACAATCAGTAAGCGACAGGTGCTAGGAAACGCTGTTTTGTACTCATTTATTGACGAGTTGGCTGTGGTCCGGCCAACTGAATGTGCTGCTTCTCTGCCGCTCACTGCACAGAACAGACGCCGAGAGAGGTGACACTTCTCCGGGAAAGTCAGACCTCGCGTTCGCGGGACAGCACTGGCGAATCTTCCAACTGAACCATAGCTAAGGTTTATCCAAAAAAGTCGCTAGGTTTGTCAGTATGAATATTCTATGGAAAAAAGCCGCTAAAAGGGTCTGAAAGTTGCTAAATCTAGTGCTAAAGTCACGCTTGTGTGTGTGAGACGCGGGAGCTGATAGCAGGAGGCGGTGGATATTTGTGGAGGTCAATGTGGATATTGTGGATGAGTTCTTCTGTGTCATCACGTTCTATTAGTTCTACAGCTTCAGTTTCGGAACTTTCACGCTTATAACACATACAGCTGTTCCCTCACCACAGTGCAACAGTGAAAAGGGACTTATTCCAAACAGTGTCGCGTTCCTAACGTTGTTTAAGCGACATACACCGGTATTGTGGTATTTTAAAAATTCATATCATAACAAAAATAAACACCGGTATTCGGTATGAACCGGTATACCGCCCAGCACTAGGTTGCCTTAATTATTTTATTCTTAATGAATGCTGACATGTTCACATAAACGCGTGCATATGGGTGGTGAGGCCAGAGACGCGAACAGCTGTTCACTGCAGATCTCCACTCAGCTGAGCTAGACTACTCACTGTCATCACTCCAGTGTCTGTTTAGCTTCTTCAAGGCCTCTTTATATGCTGACACCTCACTAGCACTCAAACACACCCCACCCCTCTGTTCCAAAGCCATGTCACTAAAAATAATGCAAACAACCCAGCTGTTATTTGGATGGTTGTACACAACAGCTGCGTGCAGGAGCTGGAGAAATATGGCTCTGTACATGTTGTTCAGCAAATTGCATTAATTTGAGCAATTAGTTCTCTAACATATTTGAGAGTGGACAAAATGAAAATGCCAAGCAGTTCACAACCTATTCCTCCTCTTTCACAATCCATGGTTGTAATAAATTGGATTATTGATACATGCCTGTCTTCATTTGTCATTTTTACTCAGGTTTCCTGGTGTCCAACTATTTGACAGATAACTTGGACAGTTTCGCGTACCTCCGTAAAGTGTCTTCAGAAGCTCATTTATATAATGGCTTCAATCTCCTTACTGCTGACTTCAGGTGAGTGGTGAAAGGCAAATCTTGTTTGGTTCTTTCCAAATATATATAACCTTGCTTAAATGGTGAATGCCTCGAATAAATCAAATGGATGACTGTTAGTGATTTCCCTCAATTTTTGAAAGCAAGCTCATTCACACTAATAGGTTCAAATTTGGTGTTTTGATATTTTTCAGAGGTGAAGTTGTTGTATTTGTGAAGGTTTTTGGTGGCATATATGTTCATAATTTAGTTTTCAAACAACTACATCAAACTAATTATTTAGATATAGATATTTCATGATACGATTTTGTTCAAATCAGCTTACTTATTAAAATGCTGTCAAATAATAAAACCTAAAATGCCTTTGTTATGCTGTTTCACAGGGAAAAAATATATATATAATGTGATGCATTCTTACAGAATCTTTCATTTAAATCCAATTAAACCATGTACATCTCAGCTGTCAGTTCACTAATTAAAACCACTTGTCACTAATTATAACCACTTGGTGCTATATCAAGCCTGTTTAAAGAGACACAAAGCTTTGAGAAATAGCTCTAAAATTACTACTCACTTTCAACCATGATCTCACTTTCTTTATCATTTGTTATGAGTATGACATGACAGTGATGATACTGTCTAAGCTCTGGAGTCCTTAAGAAGGACAGCAGGCACTGGTGCCGCCACCTGCTCTCCATATACCGAAGCTCAAGAAGTCTATTTAGAATATAGTCCGAACAGATGGCGTGTTTCCAGCAGCGTGATTTTCTCAGAGCATAGTAATTTGAGACTATTTAAGAAGATGGGTTTCATGATTCCACATATTAAAGGTAAAAAATAACGACGTTTTTGTGTGTATAATACCATAATAGTGGTTCAGTGTAGAGGATAAATATACTTATTTTACGTTTAGCAAACTTGTAGACTGAGGATACATTCACAATGACCGTAACATAAGCAATAGCAATAGGAGTGAACACATATACTATAGCTGAGTAGTGTAGACACTGAAGTGTGTATTTAACTAGATATTAGGATATACTTAAAACAAGTCATCATCTCCCCATCCTTTAGCTTGCTGAAAGGCTGTCTGCTAATTTAGTAATGTATTACTTAAGTCCATGCTGCCATCTGAGGGACTGGAGGGATAACATTTGTCCATTCGTCTCTGTCTCTTCAAGCAAATATTTATAAACAGAAAATACATTGGAAGGCCACTCAGAACCCAAAACCCAGTAATGAAACAGAAAGCCATAGCCGTGGGGAGTGTTATTCATTTGTTTACCCTTTTAATAAACAAGATCATTATTATTATCGGACTCTCGCTTTCTTTCCTCAGCCACGAAGGACAAAATGATACATGTCCAGATAAACTCTTGAGGAATTACAATGGGCATTTTGTGCTGAAATCAATACAGCTGTCTTCTGTAAATAGAGACGGCCTTTTCCAAAACGATAAAGAGGTTTTGTTTGTTCCTCTACAGGGATGTGACTGACAACACTTATAATAGCCTTTATGTTTTATGTGATATTTTCAGCCCAATGAAAAAAAAATTCTGCTTATTCAGATCAGGTTTGGTATTAAAATTCCTCTTTGAGTGTGCTGCTCACAGCTTTCACTTATACACTATATAGATTCTTTCAAGAGCTCATTTCAAGAGGAATCAAATTTTCCTTGATCTTTAGAGACTAAAGTGTTCATTCTGTAAATTTCAGAATTTCCTCCCCAGTAAAAAAAAAAAGACAATTATTGAAACAGGGCTGCAAAAAATGGCTCATTCTATACTTCTGCAACTTTTGTTTGGGGTCATTAAGAAGTTATTTTTTTAAATCTCTTGTACTGCATTTATTTGATCAGAAATACAGTATAAACCTTAATACTGTGAAATGTTTGACTAAATATGATATATTGTGAAATAATATTATTTAAAATAAATTTATGTTGTAAACAATTTAAATAGTTTTCTATTTTAATGTATTTTAAAATGTAATGCAACTTTCTGATGTCAGGCAGAATACTTTATTTGAACACGTGCACATGTGACAAGTCAATGATGCTTATTATTCAGTCAAGGTGGGGTCATGTAGAGGAAGTAAGATATCTGTGGCAGCATGTATGGTTTTGATCCTGTCAGAATGCAATGTAGGCTTTGCACAGAGGTGTTAAAGGTGTTAAAATCTTGATTGGAGCTGACAGCAAACCTGCAGTTCACAAATAAATGTCTCTCATTTCACATGGAAATACGGCATTTAAACTGAAGGCAGCAGTAACTACTTATTATTATAATTATTCTTATATTATATTACTATATATTTTGTATGGCATTCATGGGAGTAGCTGGATAGCGTTACTGCTATGGATATAGTTAAAATTAGATCCCTGAAAGCTGGTATGATAGATGGGTGTGTAACCCTAAAATTTTTGTCTGCTGAGTTGACTGGCTGTTTTAGCTGAATAAGGCTTGGTCTTTCTGATCCAAATCTCAAAACGAAGTGCCCTTGGCAAAGTGCTTAAAACTGGTAACTGAACAGTTTGCTATTTGAGTTTATTTTGTGAAAATAATATTAGTGAAAGCATGTCTCCAGTACAAAATTAATTTGTAACTTTTCTAGCAATTATTGTGCTGCATTAATACATCATTAGAAGACTATTTGGCTCTTATGCCCCAGTGTTTAAAGTCTTTCAGTGCAATTAATGCATTAGTGGAGATAGATAAGGCCATTATTAGAAGGTATTGTGTTTGTGCCAGTGGAGATTGCTCAAATTAAGTACTTTTTATAGGCACAGCTGGTGTAATGGGGAGTTATGTATATTTAAACAATAAGGTACAAGATATAAACAGTAGCTACAGGTGTTTTGTGTCATAGCTTTTACTATATTATGTATTTTAGCATGTCTGGAATGTTACATTAACAGTGTTGGGCATTAACTAGTAACTTAGTTACTGTATTAATATTACTTTTTGCAGTAACTAGTAGTGTAACTAATTACTAATAAGATTTCAGTAATAATATTACAGTTACCATCCATAAAACAGCTTAGTTACTTAGTTACTTTTGATGCCTCAACCCACTGATTTAAAATCCAACAATCAAATAATTCCTCGATTTATTTTCATAATTTTCACGACTCTCACATGCATGTGATGTCCCCAGTGCAGCAGGCAAGCTTGGAATATGGAAAAGCTTACATTCAGCAGATAGAAATATTGGATTATATTGAATTTGTCAGGAAAAAAGATGATCATTTTACTTTACTTTACTTTACTCTGGCATTACATCCCACCCACATCCCTCTGATCAGCATGTGGTACATTATATTACTATGATTAAAAAAATCTTTTTGGAAATTTAAAGTTTCTTACAAACTTAATGAAATATAATCGTATATGGGTAATGGAGAAATGATAATTAGCTTCAAGCTGGACGTGACAATTAATGAGATTAATACAACACTTCTACTTGAATGTGACTTGAATCAATCACTAGAATTTTATGTGGAAGATACACAGTTACAACTTCTGTGGGGCGTGAAGAAAAAGTAATGTAACTAGTGTAACTAATTACTGTTGCAAGAAAGTAATAAGTAAAGTAGCAATATTACTTTTGAAATTAGTAACTAGTAATGAGTAATATACTAGTACCAACACTGTACATTAATCAATTATCATCCTAGAACAGAACTAATAATTTTTTAAGTATATAATATAAACAATATGTGGAACATGTAGATGAATGAAACCGAATACAGAGGGGGAAAAACTTTTAATTGCATCTCTTCGGTGCACTTAAAAAAAGTAGTGTAGTTCAGCAAAATTCCATTAATAAACATTCATTTTTAAGATTCCTAAAAACAGATGTGGTTTTACGGAAAGTCAGCATTCTGCATACTTATTCTGCATACTTATTTTATCCCTAGTACTTATACAACGGGGTCTAGTCTCCAGAGTTCTGAGGCTTCTGAAGTCCTTTCCTCGCTGTCTGTCTTTCTCTTCATCGTGGTTTGCCATCGCTGCCAAACTGTTCAACCAGCATTATTGATGTCCCTCTCAAAGTGCTTTCAAAAACCCTAAATTGGCCATTTCTCCTTTCATAGCCATCCTCTTTTGTCTCCTGGGCCAATAAAATGTCCTCTGAAACACACGGCTATATCACCATAGTTCCATCAGGAGTAATGAGCTTCACTGAGGATCCATCCACTAGATTCATGTGTATGAAAACAAGAACATGTCTAATCACATAAATTAATGATGAACTGACTGAGCTCATACATACAAACTGAAAGGAGATTCACTCTCCTCCTTAATTACAGGCTGATTTAGGAAGATTTCTTTCATGAGCTGATGAAGGACAGAGACTGTCTATCTGTCTGTCTGTCTATATATCTGTCTGTCTTTCTGTCTGTCCTTCTGTCTGTCTGTCTGTATATCTATCTGTCACTCTGTGTGTATATATATATATATATATATATATACTGTATATCTGTCTGTCTGTCTCTGTCTATGTATGTCTGTCTGTCTATCTATATATCTGTATGTATATCTGTCTGTCTGTATATCTGTCTGTATGTGTGTATATATATATATATATATCTGTCTGTCTCTGTCTATATATCTGTCTGTCCGTCTATCTATATATCTGTATGTATATCTGTCTGTATGTGTGTATATATATATCTGTCTGTCTGTTTCTATATCTATCTGTCTGTCTGTCTGTCTGTCTGTCTATATATCTGTCCTTCTGTCTGTCTCTATATCTGTCTGTCTGTTTATATGTCTGTCTATCAGTCTATCGTTCTGTCTATAACAAAGCATGTGAAAAATGTGTATACAGTATAAAGTATATATGTAAAATAGACTTGTTTTGTCTTTTGAGTTTTGCTACTTTATTAATTAGGATGTGTTGATTTGCATTGACTTCCTCTACAGTTCTTTATGTATGCATTACATAACTATGGAATTTGTTTCTGTGTTTACAGTGACAAATGATGCAAAAATAGCTGTAAATATGTGTTTAATTGTGTTTTAGCAGTGAGCACTAACTAATTTTTTTTTCTCGCTGTGTTGTTGGATGCAGGGCCAATGAAGACACATTGTGTTACTATGGAAACAAGGGCAGTTCAGAGCCCATTCATCTCAAAGCAGGTGTGTTCAGTCCCTCAGTTAGCGCTCTGTGTTCAGACACCAGTGGTCTTGCATAAAGCACTGCTGTTTGTTTGCAGTGTTACACCTACCGTCTGCAATACAGACCACTTTTGCTCGTTCAGCACCAGATTGGTGGGTGTGTCTCACTCAGAGCTCACAGGAAGTGATGGATGATTGTTTGTTTCAGCAGGAATCTATGGGTTGAGTAACTCTCTTCTGGAAACTCCGTGGAGAAAACTGCAGCAAGGCAAACGGTTGTTCACCAGTGTATTGAACAAAACACTGTCCCCTGATGGCTTAATGCAGGAACTGCTCCATATACTCAATAATGAGGAGCTGTAAGTGTGCACTCTCCTTCATTAGGAAAATTAGTTTTCTCTTATTCTCTCGTTTTTTCTGTTTCTCTTTATCGTCCAGCTACCTTTCTTCATCAAACCACCATCCATCCTTTTTGATCCTCAAGAAGCACTTGAGACACAAAGCAAATGGATTTTTAGAAAGTTACTCTGAAGCACAAGCAGCATGATTTTTGAAGTCTCATTTCTATAGGTTATATAAGGTGAATGCGGGCAGCAAATCAAAATGAATTTAGATATTAAAAAGCAGCTCTTCAGAGTCGTACACTGGATGAGTCCAAATTAACTTACTTCCATGTTAAGCTTCGTTGTTTTTCACTTTTTTATTACAGATTTCTTTTTTTATATGATCACTTTACATTTTTAGAGACAGCACTGTTATATGTTTTCTTCTTAATAAATACATTTTCTGCATTATAACTGTGTATGTGTTTGAAGTTATGGAAGTGAGAGCCATCTAATTAGACATTATGGACCTATTTGCATTCATAATTTAATTATGTATTCATCAGTGAGAGTAATTGATTTAAAACCAGTTATGATATTTAAGTAAATAGTCGTGCAGTTGTGTCAGTTCTTATATCTTATATTTTCTAAGCTTTGCATTGCAACTAATCAGTTAGTATTAGAAACTAACCGATTAAGTTAGTATATATACTAAGTGTATATACACTACCATTCAAAAGTAAGTTAGAAAATAATACTTTTATTCAGCAAGGATTCATTGAATTCATCAAGTGACAATAAAGCATTTGTAATGTTACAAAAGATCTCTGTTCCAAATGAAAGCTGTTCTTTTGAGCTTTCTATTCATCAAAGAATCCACAAAAATAACTATTAGCACAACTGTTAGTAATAAGCAGTTGTTTTAATATTGTAATTTTTCACAATATTACTTTTGTTTTATCAAATAAATGCATCCTTGATGAGCATAAGAGACTTATGGTAATGGTAGTGTGTACTGTATTTTGTATACTACTGTACTTTATTTATTTTTATTATTATTATTTATTAATTATTTTATGTCATTTTTTTTCAATATTTTTTTATAAACAATGTGAATACCTGTAGCATTTCTGTGCATTCTAAAACTGCTCAGATCTTAATCGAATCGTCAGCTTGATTTGTCACACTAGAGTCATAAGAATCTCACTTCTACTCTTTTCAGAAACACCCCAGACCTCGAACAGGAGAGTCAAGGTGTAGGCTTCAGTAAGGCCATACTCCAAGCTCTGTCTGCAGTGTGTGTGCGCTCACCAGGATACGGCACAAGGTCCCATCATGCTTTTACTTCTTTCTCTCTCTGCACTTTCTAGTTTACCTCCAGTTGTGAAGTTTAACCAGTGTCATATTTGTGTTTGTATTTCCCAGGACCAATACAGTCATCCTCATCGACCGAGAAGGAAACGTGAGCTTTACGGAGCGCACCATGCTGAACTGTGACATTACTATACTGGGATGTGACTGAGTGTGGTCTGTTGCCATCTAGGGGCATGTAACATTTTTAAAGCCCAGATTGTAAAGCTGGTTCTATATTAAATTACATTTATTTGAGAAAATTAACTTGGAGTTATTTAGACAAGGACAATTGTATGTAGTCTAAAAACACATTTTTAAAACCCAAACACTTCAAAAAAAAAAGTTTTTTGATCAGAATTACATTTCCCTTATCCTGTGCATTCTTACTTTAAATTTCATTAAAGTTAGTCAGTTCATTCATGACTATGATAATAAATCAGTTGGATTTAATCTCGTCGATGTTTGTTTCTATCCATTCTGCATTTCCAAAGAGTATATTTTAGAGAACATTTTAAAAAAGCAGTTCTTCTGACCCCGTTATGATTAGGTGTATTAGTCGTATACTCAATTACACAATGCAATATATAATTCATTTTCTTTTGGCTGTATTGATGACATCTTAATGTGTATAAAAAGGGATTTGCTGCATTTAGGCAGACACAACAAACACTGAAACAGTAAATATGCATTAATAAATTACCTTATTATAAACATAAAACACAACAATGCAAGCTTAATATCAAAATAATTCATTTTTTAATCATAAAATGTTACTAGCTATGACAAAACTTCTTGTCACAGCAACATGACAGCCAAAATGGACAGGCATGTTATTACTTTTATATCCTTTTTGTAATATGGTACAAGGAACATCATTGTTCTGGCCAGAAAATATTAGATACATAAGAATACATGGATACATGACATCTCTCAAGTCATTTTTTTTCTTGCAGTTACGCTGTTTACCTTTGAACGTCGCTGTATTACCAATCTTGACGAGTTCTTTCGAACCCCTCGGCCGCCGTACATTGGCATTGTGGGTGGAGTAGTCCAGCGAATATTGCGACACCTTGCAACGCATTCTTTTTAAATACACGAAGAACTACAATTACAGTGAGGCGCGAGGAGCAGCTTTCGTGACAGTGCCTTATCTTAAAGCAACAACCAAGGTTAAGTGAGGTTGGAAGCAGGGAGTAGCAGGGCTTAAGGTATGTAAATATGAACGTCTTGTTTGCTTGCTAAACATAAAATCTTCACAGATATTTTGGGCAGAACTTGGTGTCATCGTTAGAACTCACAAGCAATAAGGAATTCGCGCGGCAGTAGTCGTTTAAAGATTTTGGTGGACACTATGGCTGCCTCAGAACCGAGTGAGCTGTCTACCTAGACAGCATTTTGGGACATCTCAGCTGCGTTTGACTTGTTTTCCGAAATGCTGTCTAGGAAGGCGGCGCACAAGGTTTCGAAACACAACCAACGTTAGCTTTATTGCTAGTGAACAAGGAACTGCTGCTACCTGAGAATTGAAACAATCAGCCAGTACATTTAGAAACGAACCAGAAGATTTGCAAACGCTATTTGGTTATACAAAAGATACAGTGAGATCAACGAAGGCCACCTGTATGACACTTTAGTTTGAACTAATGCAAATGAGTGACACGAACACAGCAGCACATTCACCTGCCTGACTAACTTAGTCGACGACTCGATGTGAACATCGGTGGCAGCCTTTTATGTGCTGATGCATTTAGTGTACTGTATATTAAAATAAGGTTTAGATTTTCTGATTACGTATATGCTTGAAAACCTAGTGGGCTGCCTGTATAGACAGCATTGTAGTCATTGTACCACAGCTCATAAGTGATCAACCACTCTTCAGTATTGCTTGTCATGTGTTTCAGAATTCCAGAAAAGCTTATATTTTTACAACAAAGTTCACTGCAGCACACACGCTCAAACTGCAGGATTGACTTTGGACTAGAAGTGCTTTTAGATATTTAATCAATGGGTCAAAAGGGCAAATTGCAAGTGGAATCAAACACTAAAAACACTGAGACTGACAACTAATACTCGTGCATGAACATTTGTTTGGCTGCTCTAGTTGACGTCAAAATAGTTTCTCTGTCTTTTCTTAAAGTAAAAAAAAAAACTATTATAAAAATCTATTTTCTGAGCTTATGCATTTGTTTCTTTTTTATTTATTTATTATTTTGAATTAATCATTTTAAACCAGAAAATAACTGGATGACGTATACTGGACTTCTTCAATCTTGTAGTCCTCTTAATGCTTTTCTTACAAGTGACTACAAGCTCTTCATCCAATCAACAACCAGATAGAACCAAGACCCCACCCTTCATTTTTGACTTTTCGATAACCCGTTGCGCTTTGGATGTTCGTCACAACATGAAAGAAAAGATCTGTCGCTACTTCTGTCTCTTTGTGACTTTAATGCACGTTCATGGTCTTCATTTTTGGAATGATTTATCAGTGCAAATTATTCCATTAAAAGTAATTTAGTAATAATTGTAATACCTTGCTCCACCCTGAAAGCGCTTTTTTTATGGCCAATGTCATCAATCCCTCATCTTTTGACCTTTTGTTCCACTCACATTTTTGTCTTCTTGAACATTCTGTCTCGCTCCTTTCTTTTTTATTTATTTATTATTTTGAATTAATCATTTTAAACCAGAAAATAACTGGATGACGTATACTGGACTTCTTCAATCTTGTAGTCCTCTTAATGCTTTTCTTACAAGTGACTACAAGCTCTTCATCCAATCAACAACCAGATAGAACCAAGACCCCACCCTTCATTTTTGACTTTTCGATAACCCGTTGCGCTTTGGATGTTCGTCACAACATGAAAGAAAAGATCTGTCGCTACTTCTGTCTCTTTGTGACTTTAATGCACGTTCATGGTCTTCATTTTTGGAATGATTTATCAGTGCAAATTATTCCATTAAAAGTAATTTAGTAATAATTGTAATACCTTGCTCCACCCTGAAAGCGCTTTTTTTTATGGCCAATGTCATCAATCCCTCATCTTTTGACCTTTTGTTCCACTCACATTTTTGTCTTCTTGAACATTCTGTCTCGCTCTGCAAAATGTCACGTTATGGAAGTAAAACGGATTGCAAATTATGTTCCAAGACTTTAAAGTGGACTTTAAAGTTAAAGTGGTTATTTCATTTGAAGCATTTCTAAAATGGTTTGTCTAATTCTCTCTCCACTGTTCACCTCCTTTGTTTCCTGAAAACACTGATTAGGCCTGGATTTGGCGGCCAGAAGGAAGGAGCAGCGTGGCATCCCTCTCCTCCTCTCATGTCCCCTCCCTGTGTGTCCTTGCATGTCAGTGCCCCCTCGTCATCCCCCCTGTGTCTCACCCTGCCAGCCCTCTGTGTTCCTCCCCCTCATGCTTGGGACAGACTGGCCTCACTGTCAGACCAATGACTGCCTGGATCATACTGCCTGTCAGCCTGGCTGCCTTCTCTATCACTGGGATATGGATAGTGTGAGTTTTAATATGCTGCAACCCATGATTCAAATCCATCTTAAAGTGCCCCTATTATCCTTTTCGAATATTACCTTTCATACACTGTAGCTGTATGTGAAGTTGTGAACATAAACTATCTGCAAAGTTGTGAAGCCGACAGTGCATGATAAATAAAGTTATTGTCTTTAAAAAAAAAGAGTTAGCTCGCAATTGCCTAAACGAGTCGTCAGGAATTCGAATCTTATTCTGTTACGGCTCTACGTCACGAAGTAACACATTTGCATAATGTCTTTCCAACGTTTTACGTCGCCAACTTGCCCGCCCACAAACAGTAAAATTTCTGTGTGGTTAACATCATGTGTAGAAGACGCTGTATCCTACACTGTGAGAGTAAATTTGTTTTATTGCATCTTATAATTACCACAAACCTGTTAACACTTGACACTTACCACTGAGAAACGTCCTGCTCCAGTCGTGCTTGTGAATCAGTCTCTTGTCGATCAGCCAGTTCAACCGTTTCATCATTAGACTCCGGCTCGAATTGGGAAGGTACAATCGATACCATCTTTTCTATGTGTTGTATTGACAAGTCCGTCATGGCAATGGGCGTTTCGTTTCCGACACGCGCTGTATGCGGTAGACCAATCCAGAGCCAATCTCTCTTCGGCTCTGGACCAATCACAAAGGACTGTGCCATCTGACCAATCACAGCAGTGAGGGCTCACGGAAAGGAGGGGTTTAGAGAGACTGATTCTTTAAACTGCTTCGCACGAGTCGTTTACGAATCATTTAGAAATTAGGTAAAATTAAATCTACTTTTTGAGAAAACTAACGTGTTTTTTGACCTTGCATGCATGTAAACCTGTTTTAGGAGACTCATAAAACAATATTAGCAACCTTAAAACTGGCATAATAGGGGCACTTTAAAATGCATTAATTATAATTTGTTACGTCAAATATTTTTTAAAAGTTGAAATCTGAGCTTTTTTCCCCACATATACAAATTCAAATGTATGAAATTGCCAGCACGTACAATACAGTGTTGTTTTGCTGTGTCCTCAGATATGCAATGGCTGTAATGAACCACCATGTTTGTCCTGTCGAAAACTGGTAAGTTGGGCTTGTTTCACTCAGTCTGTTTAAAGCGTGTGATGTTTATGTAATTTGATAATCAATGCTGTTTTTTGTAAAGGTCATACAATGTAACATGCACAGATGAAACAGCCAAGCCGGGCTTCCCAAAAACATGCTGCACCATTCAAGACATCCCCCTCATCAGGTAGTCATGTGCACTTTATTTCGAGTCTGTGTTTATTTCCAGCATGATCTGACAGTGTCTTTGTCTTCACTTTGATTCAGTAAATGTGGATCTTTCCCTCCCGAGAGCTGTCTGTTCAGTCTCATTGGTAATGTGGGAGCTTTCATGGGTAAGACTGCTTGTTCTCATATTTCCACATATTCTACACCGGCAGTGACATATCAAATAATGGAGAACAAAAGCATGAATGGAAGCATTCAGCATTCAGAGTGGCAGAGGTGATGCAAAAACAGATACCTGCATGAGACTTGCAGACATGCTTCTTATTGCGTCACCTTAAATGAATGTTTTCCTGTGTCGCTTGCTTCATTATGTGTTGTGTTATGAGTGAGCTGATATGTTGCGATTATGTGATTT